AAGTTAATATGGTTCCTAAGGTTTTTGGGTCTTCTGAATCCGATTTTGAGGGTCTCATGGCCAAATGAGATGAGTTAGAGGTAGTTTTGAACCGGGCTAGGCCGATTCGAGCGTTTTTGGAGACCAGTTCAATACGGTTCGAGGATCTTGAAGGCAAGTTTAGTCAATTTGAGGATAAATAAGTAGAGTAGTGACGGTTAGTGGTTTAAAGGGTTTTGAAGTGAGTTAGTGGTGTCTCGATATGAGTGCCGAGAGTCCGGACCTGAGGGGAGCCTTGAGTCACTTCTGATGAGTGAGTTTTTGGGAGTAACCTCAGTTTCGGTACTGACTCGTGGTTTGATGATTGTTGATACTCCTGGGGAGATTCGCTTCAGTCAGTGACCTGTCTACTTGAGATTCGACGTTTAGTTTTGACATGTCCGATGAGTGATAGTACTCTCTGTATATGTGTTTGCATCATGATTTTTTTGCTAATCTCTGTATTTGAATTTTGAACACTGTTATTATATTCAGTACTTGTATCTGTTTGTTTCAGAGTCTGATACGCCTGGAATTATGTCTGTAATTACACGTGTATATCTGCCTCAGTGCTACATGTCTTTTGTTTTGTACATCTGCCACAAATATGTGTGCGATTCTGAATATGTGTGTGCGATTCCGGTTTTTCGATTTCGACTCTGGCTCTGTTCAGGGGTGCCAGGGACTCGGCCATTAGACGGTCGGTTGTCGTACTGTGCGGGGAGTGCCCTGAGTCCAAACAGTGGGCCGTCGTGGCGTTTGGGGAGTGCCTTGGACCCATTATGGTGATTTTGATTCTAACTCAGGCTCTGATTCTGGCTCTGACTCTGGCACGGGATCCCAGTGCGACATCTGTGTTCAATGACTCTGATTCTGATTCTGGGATGCCATGGGCTCTGCCATCGGGCAGTTGGCCACTGTCGCACGGGAAGCGCTCTAGGTCCATCTGTGGCTCTGATTCTGATTCTGGGATACCAGGAACTCAGCCAGGGACAGTGGGCCCCTGTACTGTGCGGGGACTGCCCTGGGTCCAGACGGTGGGCCGCCATAGCGTACAGGGAGTGTCCCGTATCCACATGTGGCTCTGAATCTGTTATGTGTTATGTGTTATGTTTTGATACTCTGATTTGATTCTGATTTTCTGGTTATTACTATGCATATGAGACTATATGCATTAAGTTAAGAAATGTGATTTTGTAAACCGTGCTGTTACTTGTGTGATACATGTATTTTGAATGACCTAAGTTTCTGTCATGGTATGCTTAATTAGTACTGTCATTCACTGAGTTTCATATTCATCCCTTTTTCCTCCCCACCTTTCAAATTCCAGTTTTGACTAGCAGCAGTAGTTCCTGCGACGCCTCCGTCCCCGCTGCATCGACCTGATTGTATGGGCACTCCTGTATATTTACTTTTTTTTGTATTTTAGACGCTCCGTGTACAAACAGATACGTTTTGTGGTATATATGTTTATAGGGTTTCCTGATGAGATAGTTTATCCGTTCTGTTTGGTCAGAGGCTTACTGGGGTTGGTACGCCAATCCTAGTGCTAGTCACGCGCCCGGGTTGGGGCGTGACATATAATGAATAAAAGAGTTGATGTTGTTGCAGTCAAAATTGGTCTATTTAATTTTTAGGCAAGGAGTGTAGCTTCACTCCAACCAAGATTGCTTAGTATCATGGAGAAACTGATTTTGATAATAGGGCTTGATTGACATTGATTCATTCACGTTGGTAAAAACTATCTGTATTTGAGCATCAAATTTATTTACGAATTAATTTTTTAATATTTTAAAAGGAAATAAGTGTTTGAGAAACAAAATGAAATCATTTCAACTTTATTTTGATGTATTATAATAAGATTTTAATAATTATACTTCAAGAAAATATAGAAATACTCAAAAATGAATTTTTTTTTAAAAATAAATTATATATGCATCGCCAATATCAACCTCACGTTGTTTTTTTCTCATTATAAATAATTAGAAAATGATAATGATTTATATTTATTAGAATGTAGATTTAAATTTAGTTTGACAGCATAATTAATTAAAATGAATTTTTAATCGTCAGGACATGATTGGAATTACTTCAAAAGATAAAGGGGACACTGGTCTTTTAAAGGAGAAGCAATGGCAAATTGGATTTTGGCAGAGGCAAGGGCTCGCAGATTTTACAGAAATTTAGGGGCCAAAATAGTCATTTAATTATTTAAATTAGTACCGCAAAAGGAAGCTTCCTAATTTGACTTGTTTTCTTGCCTTCATTGAAATGTAATTTTTCTTTTCTTCGGAGTAGAAGAAAAGTCTTTCCTTGCAAAAGTCATCAAGATTGAAATGAATTTCGACTCATGGGTGCCAATCTCCGGACACAAAAGTTTACGGAGTTCTATCTACTCATGGAAATTGACCGAAGGAAGGGGAAGAAAAGAAACTGTTTGTTTAATTAACTTCCATTATGTTGGTTACCAGGGAACAACTTTTGTCTTCGCCTGGAATTTTCATTTACACAATCGTGATCTAGTTTACAAAATTGGAAAAAAAAATCTAACTAAAAATCTCAAATTCAAAAGTTTTAAGGCAAATAAATTAATTATTATGGCCTTAGTTCTCTGTTTTCAATCCTTATCATCTTTGCCTTTTCTTCTTTTTACTATTTCTTTATCCTTAATTGCAAAGCAATTGGGGGAGCTACACATGGGTAGAAACTATTCAAAACATAAATAAATCAATAAAAGAAAAATTCATCAAATTATTAAAGAATGATTCGGAATTTGAGGGTTTAGAAGAAATGAAAAGTAAGACTTAAAGGACTCCTATGCTTATCCCTTTTCATCCTCGAACATGTATCTCCTATGGCATCACAAATGACAAAACATAATTGGTATCGTATATCTAAAGCTTACTTGAGGACCTGTTGATAATAGTCACTATGGTCACGCAAACCGGTTCTTTATGTTATCAAGGAAAATGACATAAGTTTGCCCCATATTTTGTTGAAGAAAAGAGCAGCACAAAATCCTGCAGCAAATCCAAGTCCCATCCCCAAATCAAACCACCACAAGTTAGAACCTTGGATTTGGTCTCTCTTTGAGATTCATCGCCTTATCTGCAACTTTTCATGAGAGAAAGAGGTCCACAGAGCCCATTATCAGCCATAAAACTGGTTTCATTGAAGCTTTGAAGTTGGGCATTTGAAGGGATTTTCCCCACAAGAAGTTGTCTGATGTGTCCAAGACGCTAGAAAACGTTAACCACTTCGTGCCTCTTCGAATTTCACCCAAAATATGGTTTTTCAAGAGATCAACAGACAAAAACAAATTGGATATGATATAAATATTTGAAAACAAACATAGTATTGAAGCTTGGAATAGCCATACAGCAAAGAACAATATGGGAACAACAACGGAGCTTTGCCGACACTATAGAAAGCATAACTTAGCAATAATATACTAGAAAGGGCACCATAAACCACGGACTCCTACTAAAATAGTAAATAACAAAAATAAACTAAATCAAATCCAAGCCTCCAAGTTGACGACTCTGCAAATTCCATGTTCCACACCTAGAATCAACACAAAAGTTAGCCCCCGACCGTCAATTTAATAATTTGACAAGAAAAAAAGATATTTTTTAATGTAGATAGATTTGCACTTGACATATTACGAATTTCATGAGCTACCATCTTTACATTATTTTATTTTACTTTCTCATCCCCTGTTCCTTATAGTTTTCGTTCCCTATTCAACGTAATAATTACATTTAGAAAAGTTATTATCATTGAAATTTAAAATTGGTTCTTTTAATTTTTAAATAAGGGTTGGTGCTTGACTTAAACTAAACGTGCTTACTTACATAGATAAGCTGATTTTATTAATAAGATTTGATTGAATTTAACCATTCATGTCAATAGGAGCTGACTACATTTGAGTTTCAATTTTATGAATTTCTATAATTTTAAAATAAGTTTTCAAGAACGTAAAATGAAAAAAACTTCAACTTTAGTTTGATGCAATGTAGTAAGATTTTAATAATTATACTCCAAGAAAGTATAAAATTACTTGAAAATGAATTTTTAAATAACAAAGTTATATATCTACCTCATGCTACTCTTTTTTACACATTGTAATTCTAATTAGAAAATGAAAATGATGTAACCCATTAGAATGCAATTTTATATTTAATTTGGCAGCATAATCTATAGATCATTATAACCAATTAAATTGATTTAAAAAAATGAACCAAAATGGAGAAATATGATTAAATTTTAGACCAAAGCCCTTTTTATCCGTGCCGTGGGAAATGTTTTTCAGTGTTTTGGAAAGCCGTGGGTAAAGGGATTATTGTTATTCGTATAATCCCTATTTTAAGAAAACATTATTAATGTGAATTCAATAATTTTAATTGACAGCATTTGGGAATTAATAGAGCAAAATTTTAAATTTGTGAATTCAGTTAAATTGTTTGATTCCAAATCATCCTCCTTGGCAATTGAAGAAGAATTTCATGTCGATACTAATCCTCCTTTTTCTTCATGTTCCAAAGAACAAAATAAATTGCTATGCATTAGCTTTAGGGCAAATACTGGATCAAGAGCTAAGTGGTAGAAACAATGTAAAGAATGGAGTATTGTTACCTGGTTGAAGATGGCAGCTTTCAATCAACACGGGCAAGTCTCTTGAGCATCCTTCGCAGCCACTTCATTTTAATCACTATGGTGACGTAGATCCAATCCTTCACACCATCGAGGAATAGGAAATAAGCGTGTCTCCAGGTTCGATCGAAGAGAAGGGAAGCACAAACTCCAAAAAACCCTACGGCAAATCCAGGTACCATTCCCATATACAACCACCATATTTCAGACTCCTTGATAACGTCATCAACTGGCATCCCTCCTTGAGATTCCTCTCCATTTGTGCATCTTTTTGACAGAGGAGGTCCACAGAGTCCGGCATTTCCGGCGAAGCAAGTTTCATTAAAACCTTAAAGTTGGGTGCTTGTGGGAATTTTCCCGCACAAGTTGTTGCATGACAAGTTTAACACTTGAAGAAATGTTAATCTCGACATGCTTTTTGGAATTTCACCTGAAAGATTGTTGTTTGAGAGATCGAGAGACTCCAAATTCACCATGTTGCCTACATTCTCTGGTATGCGTCCAACTAATTGTTTGTGAGACAAGTTCAGAGAGTGTAGATAGTGAAGACTTGAAATCTCATTTGGGATTGACCCAGACAAGAAGTTGCTTGAAAGATCTATGTTCCTTGTATACAAATCAGCAGCATTATATTCTAATTTTACTCCTTTTGTGACCAAATCTAACTCTTCCTCATAGGTGAAATGGATACCTAGACCTACCCAAACTTGAGAAAATGGTACATCATCAATAGCCATATCACTCATATTATTCAGGCATTTTGGTATGCTTCCTACTAGTTTGTTATGGGAAAGATCCAGGATAATAATACGTAAAAGCCGACATATTTGTGAAGGAATGTGGCTTATAAATTTGTTGGATGTAAATCGAAGAACCCGGAGATTTGTCATGTCTCCAATCCAACTTTGTATGACTCCAGTAAATTTGTTTTCACCCAAATCAATCACTTTTAAAGAAGAACAATTTTTTAGTGACAACGGTATATCTCCATATAAGTGATTCTTATGCAACCGTAATGATTCGAGTTGATACAAAGAACCAATTGATGTGGGGTTCTACCAAATAAAGTATTTTTACCCAAGTTCATATGAATCAATGATGACCAGTAAATCCAACAATCAAGAAGTTCTCCGGTCATAAGGTTGTTTTCCATATTTAGATATTCAACTTTATATTGCCTATTTGACTTTCGGCAAAGTGAAGAGGAAATAGTCCCTGAAAGATGGTTATTTGCAACATTCAGCACTCGGACATTTGATGACAAATGTGGTAGTTGGCCTGTGAACCTGTTGGAACTTAAGTTCACATAACTCGAGTTTAATAAAACATGGGATAGATTGCCACTAATCTGGTTCTGAGAAAAATTGATTATTTCGATGCCTGAAGCCCAGTCGCAAAACCAGTCTGGAGCTTTGCCTGAAATTCCCGCTTTTGCAATTGCCAAGTATTCAAGAGATATTTGTGTCCTTAGCCATGAAGGAAAATTTGAACCCATTTTATTCGACAATGATGCGAACACTTTTAAGTTGAAAAGGAGGAATCCAACTGGTGTTGATATTGAAGAATAAAGAGTTATCAAAAGCATAAATATATTTCAGGTTTTTAAGTTTGGCAAAATGCAATTCGGAAACTAATCCTTCGAAGTGGTTGGAGCTAATGACCAGCGTCTGTAAATTGGAAAGAAGCCCTATACTCTTTGGAAGTGTTCCATTGAGTTGATTGTTGTAAATGTATAATACCTCCAAGGATGATAAATTGCCAAGAGCTTTTGGAATAGGACTAGTGAATTTGTTGTCAGACAAATCAAGATACTGGAGGTATTTCAGTTGTACAAGTTGATCCGGGATTTTACCATAGATAGAGTTTCTCCATAGATTAAGATATACGAGGCTACTAAGATTGAACAACCAATTTGGTAGCATAGAATTTAAACTATTATATCCTAGCTCTAGGACTTGAAGGTTGGTTAAATTGACATACCCAAGAGGTGGATTCATGCTATGGAGGTTGCAACGGAACAAACATAGTTCAGAAAGAGAAGGAAGCATGCTGACCTCTTGAACCCAATTGCCTTCGTTTTGAAGGTTGACTGCAGTCAAGTCAAGAACTTTCAAGGTATGAAGATGAGCAACCCAACTGAGGTTATCCACATAAATTCCGTCTTCATTCCATCCCAGATTAATGTAAAGAATATTGGAAAGATTTCCAAGTTGATGAGGAATTAATCCCCCAAATCTAGCACCGCTGAGATCAAGATATTTGAGACTTTCCATTGAACCTAAAAAGCTTGGGATAGGAATACCTCCAAAATAATTCTGGCTCAAGTTCAAGTAACTCAAAATTCAAGTTCAAGCAGAACAGAAGAAATCACACCACTCAACTTGAACTTCTTTGCCTTTAGATGAGTCCCCTAGGTGTAGCCCAATAATCCGACCAGTTAAATTGTTACACTGAACTCCCGCCCACAAGCAGCAGTCTCTGTGAACAGTCCAAGGAGATAGGCGGCCCAATAGATCGGTTAGGCCTTGCTTGAAGTGAAGAAGGGCTTACTTTTCCTTTTCGCTACAAATTATATCCGTCTTTGCACCATACAAACTCAAGTTAAAGCAAGCAGTTGACAGTAATATCAGCCAAATTAAAGGAATCATGGCTCTTGTAGTGGAAGTAGCCATTATCTGCTTTCTCGAGCTATAGATCAAAGGAGTATTATTGGTATCAATTGTCAAAACACTGTAATTTATAATCATTATCACCAAGTCATAAACTTGATTTGACGAGTAGACTTTGACAAGTAGGCGTGGAATTAAAGAAAAATTAGACCAAAAAGGAGGAGCCTTGTTCGTTATCTTTCAAATAAAAATTATTTTTTGAATGTGAAAATTTTTCTAATAGATCCTCAAATTTAAAGTTCTTTGTAACGAAGCAAGGAGTAGCTTTCAGTGTATATTTTTAAAATAAATTCTTTTTAAATTTTTTCTTTAAATTTAAAAGTCGCTTTCCTTGAAATCTATCTATATTATTAAATGATAAACCAATCAGATAACAGCTGAATCACCCCTTGGGGGAGGGGTGCTACGGAGCACATTAGATAAAAATTAGTAAGTTAAAAAATTTTGTAGCACGGATTTCACTACATGAATATGCAAGGACTTACCTTCTTTCTTGCAGTATTATTATTATTATTATTATTATTATTATTATTATTATTATTATTATTAAGAAGAAAATTAAATGGGTTAAAATATAGTATTATTATATAATTTTTTATTTTGAACTAGAAAATTTATTAGGATAATTAAATTAAATTAAATTTTAATAATTAAAATGTTTCTAATTAATTTTTAATCGGTGGGACACGACTAGAATTATTTGAAAAGACCAAGGATACACTGGTCTCTTCAAAATAATCAAGGGGCGAATTGGACATTGACCGAGCCAAGGCACATGGGCAATTTTGTAGAAATATAGGGGCAAAATAATCATATTAAATCATCGAGATATTTTTGAAATTTAAAAAAAAAAAGAAATAGAAATTGCGTGAGTGTCCATGTTGTCGCACTGGGGATGGCCTCGCTGTTGGCAATTCTATCTCCCGGCAATAGTTTGCTATTTCACTATTTCAGCCTTACCACCGCCATCATTTCGCCAAAGCCGCCATTTTAACTGGCGAACAAAATCCCACATCGTCAGCCGTTGAAAGTGGCTGCACCTCCGGCCGACGTCGGAGGAACGGTCACTTGTTTTGGACAAGCAACCTCTTATCTGCCCATCCACCGTCTCTCGAAGTTCTTCTCTATACTGACATCTTCACCCTCTTCGCTATCACCATTGCAGATGGTGGAATAAATTTAGTTTTCACAATAGCTAGAGGAATGAAGGGTTGGGGTAAATTGTGTAGATGGAGGGCGGGTTGTAGGGGAAAACAAAAGGGAAAATCCCAACATGTTTTTAAGAAAATATTTAATATTGTTTTAATTTTTGAGTATTGATGGACAGATTTAATTTGGTACGTTGTTTCTCCCACTTCCTATCTAGAAGATATCAATTCAGTGCCACACGTTATTTTATAATATCAACTTATAATTCTTTCTTTAAATTTCTAAATAATTCATTTTTAAAAAAAAATTAGTAGCTCATCCTTTTTTTGGTCAAATTATTAATATTTAAAAATTTACTAGATTCTGACTAATTTAATTTGAATTAACTGATATTTCAAAACATTGTATAATTGGTTGCTCACCTTTTCATATCAATTTATAGCCTAAAAAATTAAGCCAATATGTTAGTTAATTATTTTATTTTTTAAGCCAATATAATTCTTTTTTTAAATTGGATGCTCACTTTTTAATATCAACTTATAAACTAAAAAATTAAGCCAATATGTTTAATATCAACTTAGAGACTAAAAAATTAAGCTACTATGTTGGTTGGTTATTTCCTTCCGAAAAATATTCCAAGAACCAACGATACAAGGATATGCACGAGGGAATATAAAAGATGAAGTAACGTGGTTTGATGAGACCTTCATGTGAAAAAAACTGTTTTGTAAAACATCTACTGGCAAAATCATTTTGAATCCACTCAAAAGCAATTACCAAGCAAGCAACATAATTGTCAAAACACAAATTCACTTTATTGGAATGAGCCCAAGGTAATACTTGATTCATAACACAGTACAACAAACAATGTTTCCAGTGACGAAGGAAAAAGAAAGCCACAGAAGATTTTAATAGGGTACTAAGTGTTGTCAAATTCCCACTTGACCATCATCTACCTTCAAGATCACTTTGATTGCTTCTAGTAATCATGTATTACATTCTGCAAACAAAAATATTTAAGTTGATGAAACTATTTAAACTTCCGGTTAAACTAGTGAATCAAAAACTAATTATCTTACCGGCTGGCCGATTTGATTATGATATAAGCAGGCGTTTGAGATGGGCTATTGAGTTGATAACTGCTATAAGTAAACAAAAATACAAATAAAAAAAGGAGTTAATATTTGGAAATACATATATTGATCCTTGCAATAGGGTTCACAACAAACACCATAGTAAGAATTCTTCTCTCTCTCTCTCTCTCTCAAATTGACAACGATATATGGAGAAGAAGTGCAATTTCTTCACGAATTCATGCATGTTTAGCATGGCCTAATAAGATAAAATGCGAGTTTTTGGGAGTGCAAGATGAAGCAACTTTGTTTATTTTGGATCCAAAAATGTGAAAATACCAACAAAAAAAAAAGAAGAAGGGATTATATGTGAGATTAGGATTTTATGATACAAGATTTCGAATTTTCAAAACAAATTATAGTGGAAAAATTCGTTCTTTATTTCCGTTTCTACTTTAAATAATAAAAAATGTGAATTTTGACTCCGCAATGTGGCCCAAAGCCAAAGATTATGCAGGAGAACTTTAAGGGCAAAATAGTTAAAACTCAAAGTTGATGATGTGTAAAAAGTGGAGGTGCAATTTATTTTGCAATTTACAGGGTGTTTAGATGCCTTGTAAAGATAAAAGTTGATAGGGCAGGTAGGATAAAATTTATCTTACTCCTACAGTAACCATAAAGATAAAGGTTGATAGAGCAGGTAGAATAAAACTTATCTTACCTCTACAGTAACTATATTTTTATCATACGTTCGGTTCAATTTAATAGCAATTCAGATAACAGACTAGATAATGAAGCAAATTACCAATTTGCTCTTGATCTTAGAGCTTTCACCTTTCCTCTCCCCCTTTCCTC